AGGTTCTTCTATCTAGGCCTCCTGAATAGCTAGGATTATAGCCTTGGGCCACCAGCATCCACATTATATCTTTAAAAAATATCCATCAATAATAATAATAAATGACTTATTACTCCAGGCTTACACCTGCAATCATACCTACTTGAGAGGCTGAGATTTGAAGATCATGGCTTAAAGACAGCATGGTCAGGCAATTCATAATTCATTAATATTTTTTATATTCTGGTCCTAGGATTTGAGGGCTTGAATTCAAGGCCTGAGCACTGTCTTTGAGGCTAGCGCTCTACAACTTGAGCCACAGTGCCACTTCCAGGTTTTTCTGAGTAGTTCATAGGACTACTGGACTTTTCTGCCCAGACTGGTTTTGAACTGCCCTCCATATATCCTAGCCTCCTGAGTAGCATTTAACCAGAAAAGCCACACTGAAGGTGTATACATGATCAAGTGATAAAGTGTTAAACTTTGCTGGAAAAAGTTAAGGGGATTCAAGCCCCAGGATTGGCACAGATACACTCATATGTATGTGTGTGGGTACATACACACACACACACACACACACACACACACACACACACACACACACACAAACACACACAATCCTATTCAGTATCCCAGGATGAAAAAAAGTAAAAATAACAAATTATAAGATGGATAAGTATTTTAAGTAGTTCCGAAAGTAACTAACATGTCATATTGTGGCTTAGGTGGTAGAATGCTTTCTTCCCATGCACCATTTCAATTTCCAGTATTATTCAAACCAAACCACACCAACAAAAGCACACCAAAAACTGTATCCAATAAAAGATTTAGAATACTATGTAACAAACATTAAACATTGAAAACAAATAAAGCTAAAGGATTGCCATGCCACAGTCAGATATAGGAAAAGTCAATATCTAAAGAATATATATTTCCCATCAAATCAATCTATATACTGAATGCAATTTTATGAGAAGGCTTATCAGAACGTTTTATAGTTTCAGGAAGTATGATAGATTAGGAAAACTGAGACCTGGGAAATGGCATCCAGGAACTCTGATAGAAACAAGACATTTAGAAAGATACATGTATCTTCTTTGCTTCTAACTCAAGATGCATTCCTCATCTTAAGGATAAGCATCTGTTCTATGGCAAAAATATATGCATTCTTTCCTGGAAGAAATGCAAAGACTGAGTCAACATATAACCAAGAACTCAGAAGGTGCAACACACATATATGGCTTTAAGACAGGTCTTGCCGTTATTATATATATGCCCCTGATGTCAGAGAGCTCTGTGCTTCTCCCTTTAAGAGCACCAACATTCTCAGTGTGCCTCTGTCTTTCTGTTTGTCTGCTTATCTGTTTGCTAACTCAATAAAGCATTGTCATGTTTCTTACCATGGTGACTTCTCTGCAAATTTTATTCTGTGACAAAGAACCCTAAGTCAAGAGTTCCTATTTCTAGAGGAAAACTTCTCCAAACCTCACCTGTACCCAGTGACTGTAGCTCCTCAAAGTTAAGAGGTGAGGTCTGAGTGGTAGAGTGATTAACTTGCATGTAAGAGACACTGCATTTTGGTCCCCACTAATAGAGTAGAGGGAGTATGAAAGATCAAAAGACCCAAAGAATGTGGAAGAACAATTTTTGGGACACATCATATCTCAAAATGAAGATTTGTCATACTAAAGCCTAGTAATCAATAAAAACTGATATTAAAGCTGAAGGAAAAGAATGACACAGGGTAGAGAGCTGAGAAACAAGCCTATGTAAAATCCTGAGATTTGACATTAGACTACTTGGTAAACAGCTCCTGTGACCAAGCTATGTTAAGAAGATACAAAATAGACCTTGGCTTAAAGTCTTAGCAAACAATTCCTAAAAACAAAGAGGCAAAGGTAGAAAGCAACACTTGGAAGCTTGAAGTAGGAACGAATAGTGTACTTTAAGAATGGAGAGATACCCAAGGAAATAAATACATATGTAGGAAAATATCAATAAGTTTATCTATATTATAGCAACACTTTTTGTTGAGTAAGTGACACCAAGAAAAATATAAACATGCTCTCTTAAGGTTGAAGACATTTAAAAACTATGTATTCAAGAGAGGAGCATTTCAATCAAGAAGATGACAGATAAAATACATGAGATTGACTAAAATATCTGAGCATGCAATTCAAAAAAAGGCAGATGTGACAAGGCAAGAAATATGAAAAATGTTCCATCAGGAACAATAAAGAGATACCACACTTGTCAGAGTAGGAAAGAGTTAAAAATATACTGGACAGTACCAAATGACTGGAAAAGGCATATATAAGAATATATGTGGATATGGATACAAACTGTATCCTTATGCAAACTGCATATAGAGGAGTATCAACACCACTGACTCAAATTCAAAAAGAAATGTTTCATATAGAATATGCTGTATATTGCATAATTAATATGCATCATCATTATTTGTGATGATTTTAGTACATTGGAAAATTTTTCAAGGAAGAAAAAAGGGGTAAGAAGCCTTAAAGACTCTCATTTGTGAAATAACTTCAAGTTCACCACTACTTGCTACTTGCTAATGTTTGCTCAAGCTTGAGAAAAGCAGCCCAGGTTGACCTCAAGCTCACTATCTTCCTACCTCAGCTTCCATGAACTACCTCTTACTTTGTTTTCATTTGAACCCTGAAGTCACTTAAGTGAAAAACAAACAAACAAACAATTATCCCAGCAAGTCCTCACCACTGAGCCTGTGCAAGGCGGGGTGTATCCCATGAAATCAGTGCATGTGGGAAGGCACCGGCACCTAGGTGGACATGGATCAGGAAATTGAAGGTCAAAATGGGGGTAAATTGGGTAGCACTGGCCACTGGGCCAACACAAATCAAGAAGACAGAGTTCCTCCACATGAACAAGAAGAGGCCCTCAGGCACAAACTCACTATAGCAGATGAAGGACTAGTTAGGGAGGATGGCAGCATCCCCAGCTCCAGGACAATAATCCTGCACTACACAGGCATTAGAGGGGTAGGGACATGGAGCAGTCTCCAAGCCTTGAGATTCCTTCTCCTGGGTCCAATATAGCCCATAACCAGTATTATCTGTCACCACATATGTGCCCTCTTGTGAACATGTGTTTACATGCACACAACTCTTCTCCTGAACTGGCATCTGGTCCAAATCAGACAGGAAGCAGGGAGGTTCCAAAATGAAGAAAAGCAGTCCATTTGCACTGTAGCAGGTGACACACTCGCTGCAAATGGTGGAAGCATGCCCAGCTTTGGGCTCATAGCCCCAGGCAACTCAAGCCACAACCTGGTAGAAGACCAGAAAGACTCTGATCTTCCTTCTCTTAAGTCCCTCTAACTTGTGTACACAAAAGCAAAACCATATACCCACACAACCTACCCAGCAATCGGTTCCCATGAAGGGGGAAATGAATCCACTTACTTTGAAACATAGTCATCTGGGATGGCACTGGCACATGGGCCTACCAGGAGGCCCAGACCAGCAAGATGATAGACTACGAGGTGACAAACAGGTCACTAGGCATGAACTCCTTGTGACAGGTGAAGAACTGGATGGGGAGGGTGGCAGCATCCCCAGCTCAGGGCTTATAATTCCAATATACATGCCACAGTTGAAAACGGTGGTAGACACACTTCAGTCTTCAGCATGTCATCTCTTGTGACCTCTACAGCTGTCCTTTAATGTGGCACCACATCCATGCACTTGTGTGTACACATGCCCACATCAGCTCATTCACAATTTGGTTCCCATGGGGTGGTTGGAAGGAGCAAATGTTACTTTGAAATAGGGGTATCTTGAATGACACTAGCCCCTGGGCCCAGAGACCAGAAAGACAGAGTTCCTGGAGGTGAATGAAGGAGGCCCTCAAGCATGAGCTCACTGTAGCAGGTAAAGGACTAGTTAGGGAGAGTGGCAGCATCCCCAGCTCCAGGCCAATAATCCTGGTCAACACAGGCATTAGCCAGTTTTGGATGTGGGACAGTCTCCAAGGCCTGGCTTTCCCTCTTCTGTTCCAATATAGCCTATAACCGGGCCTATCTGGCACCACATACTTACCTTCCTATGAACACACAGGCATGGCCAGACTATTTGGAGCCACACACATGCCTTCATGGGAATTTGGTTATATATGCACAATCCTTGACTTGCAATTCAGTTCCCACAGGACAATGGCAGGAGGGAACAGCTTCCCTTGAATTGGTGGCATCTGTGAATGGTACCTGCATCTAGGCTAACACAGATCACGAAGGTGGAAGGTTTGCAAGATGAAGAAAATCAGGCTACCTCCCTGTGGAAGGTGAAGCACTGGATGGGGCAGACAACAGTATCCCCAGCTCAGGGCCCATAATCCCAGTATACAGGCCATAGCTGGGAAGGGTGGTGGACACACTCCAAGCTCCAATGTGCCATCTCTTGTACTCTCTAGATCCTACCTCTAGTCTAACTGGCACCACATAGGTGCAATCATGTGTACACATTCCATGAAAGGGTTCCCACAGAATGGCAGGGTGGGGCAATCTTTACCTGAAAAGGGGTGTATCTCAGATGGCACAGGTCCTGGCTGACACAAATCAGGAATAAAGAGTTCCTTTATGTGAACAAAAAGAGGTCCTCAGCATGAAGTCACCATAGCAGGTGACAGACTAGTTAGGGAGGTGGCAACATCCCCACCTACAAGCAAATGACACAAGCTACACAGGTATTAGAGGGGTATGGACACAAAGCCTGGCCCAATATGTCCACAACCAGCCCTACCTGGCATCATGTATATGGTCTCCTGTGAAAGTGTATACTGACACATGGGACCAGAAGGGACCAGCAAGTCAGTAGTCCACAAGATGAAGAACAGGCCACCAGGCAGAAGCAGCACTATTTAGGAAGATCATTAGCATCCCAAGTCCCAGACCTATACCCCGGGTTCCACAGGCCTATGAAGGGATGTTTGACAGTCTCCAACCCCAGCCTTTCTTCTCTTGGGTCCAATAAAACATAGTCTAATTTAAAAACATGTAAGTGCTTTCATGGGAATATGTGTATACACATGCACAAAATCCCTGACCTGCAATTCTGTTTCCACAGGGCAATGGAGGGTGAGGAACCTTGAATTGCATGTCTCCCAGGGCTACACTGACATTAGCCAGCTAAAGATGCAGGATAGACTCCAAGCTCTGGCCTCCTTCTTCCGGATCCAATATAATCCATGACCAGGCCACTCTGACACCACATTTGTGCCCTCCTGTACACACATGCACAATCCATCTCACAAGTGAGTTCCAACAGGGAGTGGGACCACTTACTGAGAAATAAAGACATAGGCAGATTTACCTGCACCTGGGCTGACTCAGAGTAGGAAGCAGGAGGTCCCAAAGTGAAGAACAATAGGCTGCCTTGTGTGACCTCCCTGTAATGGGTTAAGCACTGGTTAGAGAGTGCAGCACTATACTGAGCTCCAGCCCCATAACCCCTAGCAACACAGGCCATATTCTGCAAGGGAGACATGAAAGACCTTCTGTCTAAGACTTCCTTCCCTTGGGCCGGCATCAGCACCCAAGTGGGAAAATCTGGCCACAGGTTCATGTGTTCCACAAACTTGTGTACACATGTGCGTGATGACATGTGCACTCAACCCCACACAAATACCCACTTACCACAAAGTGGGAGTGGTCCTACTTGCCTTAAAACTAGTGCATCTGGAATGGCATTGTTGCCTGGGATTACAGGGAAGGACATGCAAGATGTTAGTCCATGAGGGAAAGAACAGGGCACTGGGCATGTTCTCTATGTATCAGGTCCTCCTGGTTGAGGAGGGTTACAGTATTCCCATTTCCAATCCCACAACACTAGGCTATAGAGGGCACAGCTGAATAGTGACACAGGACACTCCCTACTCAAGGAAGCTCCAAGCCTACCTTCTCTTGGGTCCTATAATATCACACACCAGTTCAATTTGACACCATGTACATACCCTAGGGTGAACATGTGGACACACACACACACACACACAACAACTCACCAGTGATTTGGTTCCCACAGTATGGCAGGAGAGGTCTAATTTATCATGAAATGGGGGCATATGGGATGGCATCCATGGTGACCTGACACAGACAGAAATTCAGTATTCCTTAAGGTGAAAAAGAGGCTCTCAGGCATGAGCTCACTGTAGCACGTGAAGCAATAGTTAGGGAAGGTGAAGGTAGCATCCCCTGCTCCAGACCAATAATCCCAGGATACACAGGCATTAGCTGGGCAGATATGTGAGCCAACTGAGGCAACATGTATGTACATTACTTTGAATGTCTGTAAAACATCTCATACACCATTCTTTTTGCACAGGGGATGGGTGGGAGTCAACTTACCTCAAATCAGATGTATATGGGATGGCACCTGCAACTGGACCCACAGGACCACGAAAAGGTCATGGAGCTGAAGTTGATGCAGTCCTCAGTATGACTGCCCTGTTAAGAGGTGAAACATTGTTTGAGGAGAGTGGCACATCTGCAGCTCCAGGTCCATAACCCCGGGCTACACAAGTCATAGCCTGGGAGGCATGAAAAACCATTCCCTTCCTTCCCTTTGGCTCACAATAGCATGTGAAGAGGCAAAGTTGGCCACAATTACTGCCTTCCTCACAGTAATGTACACACAACCACACCCTAATCAGTCCCTACAAAGTGAGGAACAGGCCCACTTACTTAAGGAACCAGCAAAACAATAGTCTGCAAGGTGAAGAACTGGCCATCTGACATGACCTCCCTTTTATCAGGAAAAGCACTGGTTGGGGATGGCAGCAGCATTCCAACACCATAACCCCGAACTTCACAGGCCATATCTGGGACAGTCTCCAAATCCTTGCCTTCCTTCTCTTGGGTCCAATGTAGCATATAACCAGGCTAATCTGGCACCACCTATGTGCGTTCCTGTGATCACCTGTACATATGTATGCACACAACCCCTCACCAATAATTTAGTTCCTTCAGGATTAAGCAGAAGAACACCCATTTACCATGGGTCCAGGTGTAGGTACCATCTGTGAATGCCCCCACAGATGGTACCTACACCTGGGCCTACCCAAACCAGGAAATGGATGTCTGTGAGGTGAGGAAATACAGGCACCATGTAGGACATCGCTGTAGCAGGTGACACACTGGATGTGGATGGCAACAGCATCCTCAGCTCGAAGCCTACAATCCCAGGCTACAAAGGCCATAGCCTGGGAGGCATGAAAGACTCATCCCCAGCCTTCATTCCCTTGGGCCCTCAATAGCACAGGAAGAGGCAAATTCAGCCACACATATTGCCTTCCTCAACCTTGTGCATGCCCACACACAATGCCACACCTGTAATCGTTTTGCACGAATGGTGAAACAGGACCATTCACCTGGAATCTTGGGCATTTGGGATGGCAGTGACACCTTGGCCCTACATGGAGGGACCAACCAAAGGCAATCCACAAGGTGAAGAACAGGCCACTGGGCACGACCTCTCTGTAGCAGGAGAAGCATTGGTTGGGGGCAGGGTGGGCAGTAGCATCCCCAGTTCTAAGGCCATAATCCTGAGCTACATAGGCTGTAGCTGGGAAAAAAAGATGAGCAGGGAGAGGAGGCAGACTCAAGAACTGGCCTGCCTTCTCTTGGGTCTTCTATAGTGCACTTCCAGCCCAATATGGCATCATGTATGTGCATTCGTGTGAATGTTTAAACACAAATGCACACAACTCTTCCCCCATCATCCATTTCTAAGGAGGAGTAACAAGGCCCATTATCTCAAAACAGGGGCATCTGGGATGGCACTGAGACTTGGGGAGATACGGGCCAAGAATATGGAATTCAATCAGCTGAAGATGACAAGGTTCTTGGGCAAGTTCTTCTTGTTTCAGTTGGTTGGGGATGGTGGCTGCATCTGAAGCACCAGTCCCCAAACCCTAAGTTCCACTGGCCATAGCCCAGAGAAAAGGTGGGGCAAATTCCATCCCTGGCCTTCCTTCTCTTGTACCAGCTATAGCACATGTCTAGCTCAACACATCTGGATGTGGTGTGGGGCCTGGCAGAGGGTGTGGGGGCCCAGCAAGAGGGGCTAGGCCCACTTAACTCCAAACAGGGCTGTACTGGGATGGCTCCCATGGCAGGCAGTGGAGAAAATAACACCTCAAATTGGTGTTATCTGGGTTTGGATCCTGCATCTGGGCCCACACTGAGCAGGAAGGTAGAGGAATCTCTTTGGACTCCATGTAGCTGTGGCACGCACAGCACCAATTGAGAGGGAGGCAAAGTCCATAGCTCCAGCCCCACAACCACCAGACGATACCTGGGAAATGGAGGAACCCCCAGTTCCAGTAACTGTGGTACATGGGTCCAGGCCTATCTCATCAGAAATGTGGGCTCGTGCCCATGCACCTCCTCTCACTAATGCATGCTGGCATGGCCTGAGGTGGGAGGACAGTGTGGGCAGGGGAGTCACGTGTTTGGGGTGGAGCAAGCACTGGGGTGGGGAAGCATGAGGTGGGGGAGCACAGGGTGGGGGATGGGAAGCACAAGGTGATACTGCAACAGCATGGGGTGGGTATGGATGGGCTAGGTGGTAGGTGGTAGGTGGGGGAGGGGGATGAGGAGTGGGCCTAGTGAGGTGGAGCTGGGGGGACAAAAAGAGAGGTTGGGCCCACTTAACTTGAAAGAGGGTTGCCTAGAGATAGCTCCCACACAGTGGTAGAGGAGAGAGTGGAGAAGAGGGAAGTGAAGGGAGCTAAGGAAGGGAGGCTCACTTACATTGAATCTGGGTTGTCCAAGGATGGCTACTGCAGCTGGACCCACAAATGATATCTGCCTGTGGTGAAGCTGAAGAGTTCCTCAGGAACCAACACCATGCAACATGGGCTGTACCTGTTGGGGGAGGGCAGCTATATCCATAGCTCCATCAGTGGATACAGGAAAATGGAGAACCCCGGATCACAGAGACCATAGCCAGGAGGGAAGGCTGGGTGGACCATGAGCCCCTACTTTCCTTCTTTGCTGATTACAACAACTAATTTGCCACCTCTTGCACACATGTATATCCCCTCACCCACAATAGGAGGAGTGGGGCCGGGTTGGGGTTGAGAGTCAGGTTGGGAAGGGATATGGGAAATGTGGCCCACTTTCCTTGGAACTTGGTTATCTAGGGTTGCCACAGCTGGGCCCACACATCCCTAAACCAATGCATGGGGATGAGTGGGAATGCTATGGCCATGGGCCAGAGGTGGAGATGAGCCAGGCAGTAAGGTGAATGGGGTCCAAGTGGGCCAGGTGGCACTGGGGAGGGGGGCTGACAGAGGGTATGGGGGCCTGGGAAGATGGGATGGGCCACTTCACCCAAAACAGGGTTTATCTAGGATGGCTCCTGCAGGGGTCTGAGAAGATGGAGAAGAAAGGAAAGAACATGAGTAAGGGTGTCTCACTTACCATGGATAGGGGTCATCCAGAGAGATGTCTCCTCTAGCAGGGTTCACACAGAGCAGCAAAGTAGAGATCCATACAGAAAGCCACAGACCCCATGGACACTGTGTGACTGTGAAAGACACAACACAGGTTGAAAAGGAGGAGGCAAGGTCTGCAGGCCCATCTCCACAACCACCAAGTGACCTGGGAACTCCAGGGTGGGGGCGGAGGCTCTTAAACCATAGCCTGGAGGAGAGCATGGCAAACTTCCAGCCTGGGCATTCCTTCTCTGCAGCAGACACAGCTTGGTCCAGGCCAACCCTGCACTATGCCCTGTATACTGGTTGGGTGGTCATGCACACATCCTCTCTCCCATACATCTGTTCCCTTGGGAAGCTTGGGGCCAGGCCGCAGGGAGAGGGTAAAATCCAGTGGGGTTGGGACTGGAGATCAGGATTTGGGGGAGGGACAGGAGAGGGCATGGGGCTGGAGGAAGGAATCCAGCTAGGAGAGGGTGAGTAGGTCCCACTTACTTCAAATTGGGATTGGCCAGCCATGGCTCCTGAAGCTGGGCCCAAAAGTGACACCTAAGGTGGAGG